AGCGCACCGTTTTCTCATTCAGAGATGCCCCCAGTCTCCAGACCCCCTCCCATTTTCCTCTTGCTCTCCTGTGTCCTTTCCCTCCCGTCTCCAGCCCGCGAAGGGGGCAGATCCGAGAGCAGCTTTGGCGTGCAGGGCCTGGGGAGGGGGGCAGGCAGGGAGGGCCACAGCTGTCTCATCTGCAAGGCGCGCCACCCTAAACCCTGTGCTTTTCCTCTCCTTATCAATGCTGTGAGTTGCCTCTGGAAATTGCCTGGCCGTCATTAGCACTGTGGATTAGGTCAGATGAGAACGTGTTTGCAGTCTTGGATGGCCAAGGCAAAACGCTGACGCTGATTATTCCAAATCTTCTGGGCAGGCCCTTTCCGTGCTCCTGGTTCTTAATCAGAGAGGGGCCCGTGTTGCATCCTGCAGGTGGGCTTGGTTCGCGTCTGGCTGCCAGGCGCAGGGAGCATTTCAGCAGTGACGGCTGACCTGAGTGAGCTGGTCTAGACATGGCAGGTGATTTTAGCTTCTCGGTTTCATCACATCCCTCAGCCGAGAAGCAACACCTCCGAGCAGGAGAGTAGGCCATTTCTTTTTTTCTTTTTTTTTTTTGCTTTTTTGGGTCACACCCGGTGATGCTCAGGGGTTCCTCCTGGCTCTGCACTCAGGAATTACTCCTGGCGGTGCTCGGGGGACAATATGGGATGCTGAGAATCGACCCCGGGTCGGCCGCGTGCAAGGCAAACGCCCTCCCCGCTGTGCTATCTCTCCAGCCCAGGTAGGCCATTTCTGAACTTTGTGATTCAGCTGAGTAAGGCCCCTGGGAGCGTCTTGTCCTGGGTCTGACTTCCTGGTGGCCGTGTAAGAGCGAGGTGTCCCTCAGGCACCCCTCCTCCAGTGCCCCAGTGCAATGCCACATCCCAAGATGCCGCATCAAGGCCCTCTACCCCCTGCCACCTGCCGCCCTGTGCTCCCACCTCAGCAGGCTCCCTAGACAGTGCTCTCGCATCAGTCATGCCAACCCTGCTGGGAATGCCAGCTGGCCTGTGCCCCGGGGGATGTTCAGCTCCACTGCCGCTTTGCCCACTCTCTCCCCGCACTGCCTGCCGCAGTGCCACAGCCCAGCCAGCACCTGCTTCTTCGCCTGAAGCTTTCTCTGGTTTCTGGAACCTGCCTTGCTCCTGTGTGTGGGTAGGCCAGTAGGCCCAAGGATGTGCTGGAAAGAGCGACACTCGGCACTGAGCAGCGACTGACTGACGGGCCCAGTCGGCGTTGCCACACCGACTTCCGGGTCCTCTTGGGAGCCAAGCTTGAGTCTCTCCCTGTCCAGGACAGGAAATTCAGTTACTACCAAGGGCCCTTTGGTTCTTTGTAACAATGTTCTCAGAGGCACAACACAGGCCACTTGGGGGGCTGAGCGATGGTACAGTGGGGAGGGCATTTGCTTTGCACATGGTTGACCTGGGTTTGATTCCCCAGCATCCCATATGGTCCCCTGGGCACCGCCAGGGGTGATCCCTGAGTGCAGAGCCAGGAGTAACCCCTGAGCATCACTGGGTGTGACCCCCCTCAAAAAAAAAATACAACCCAAACCCCAACAACACAGGGCCACTTGCTGGCAGCTGGTGAGAAGCATACAGACGGCATGATCCATGGGTGGGAGCACCCGGGATATCCCTCCCTGCTGGGCTCCACAGCCTCCTGGCGCTTCACTGGGGAGCAAGTCCTACTCGCCCAGATAACAGACCCCCTCCCTCTCCTTGACCTCCCAGACCAAACTCTTGGGAACCAAACAGACATCATCTTCCGAGTCCATCTTAACTGCCGCCTCCTTTTTCAGCTCCCTGGCCTTCCTCGTCCCCCTCCTGGGGCAGGACTTGGTCACTTTGGTCACTTTCGTCTCTCCCCAGCCCAGCAGCCCTCCTCCTGACCTGTCTGCCTGGGCCATGCCTCCAGGGCCCCGCTAACCTGGGAACCCTTTGGGGTTAGATCGTCTTTACTTCTTTTTTTTTTTTTTTTTTCAAATTTTGCTCAAGACTTAACTCCTGGCTCTGCACACAGGAATTCTTCCCGGTGGTTCTTGGGGGACCATGTGGGATGCTGGGGAAGGAACCCAGGTCAGCCACGTGCAAGGCAAGTGCCCTACCTGCCTTATTTATTTATTTATTTTTAAATTTTTATTAGTGAAACACCATGAGGTACAGTTGTAGACTTACAAATTTTTGTGCTTGGGTTTCAGTTATACAATGATCGAGTATCCATCCCTCCACCAGTGCCCATTCTCCACCACCAATGATCCCAGTATCCCTCCCACCCCACCATCCCCCCATCCCACCCCGCCTCTGTGGCAGGGCATTCCTCTCTGTTCTCTCTCTCCTTTTGGGTGCTGAGGTTTGCAAAAGAGACATTGAGTGGCAATCATGTTCGGTCTATAGTCTACTTTCAGCACGCATCTCTCATCCTGGGAGGATCCTCCCAAACCCTTTATTTGGTGCTCCCTTCTCTATCTGAGCTGCCTTTACCCCTAGAGTGTGCGGCTGGCCTCCAAGCCATGGAGTGAACCTCCTGGTACTTATCCCAGCTATTCTTGGGTGTTAGTCTCCTATTTTGTTACTTTGTGTTCCCCAGATGAATGCAATCTTTCTATGCCTGTCCCTCTCTTTCTGACTCATATCGCTTAGCATGATACTTTCCATGTGGTACCACTTGTATGTAAATTTCATGACGTCATCTTTTCTAACAGCTGCATGCCTACCTGCCTTATTATCATCACTCCGGGCCCCCTTTCTGTTTCTTTCTTCTGTGAACCTAGGACCGCCCCTGGGATAGGGAAGGAGCCAGCAGCAGGAATGCAAGGAAGAGATGGACAACAGACAAGTTGAGAACCTTTGGGGAAGCTGCTGTTATCCCAAATGCTGTCACATTACTGAGTTCTGTGGTTGATGTCCCATCTCGCAGTTGACAATCTGCCTGCACCCTACTGTCACCTCCTTCAAGGGGAGCGAGACGGTCCAGCCCTCCACAGGGGCCACTCTCGGAGCTGGCCAAACTTCCAGGCAGGCGTTGGTCTCAACTGCCAGGTTCAAGTGTGCAGTGCCACTTCCCATCCGGGTACCACCGCAAGAACAGCCACTTCCACTCTGAATCCTTCCTTCTTCTTGGGGGGCGGTGGTCACACCAGTCTGTGCTCACGACTTCCTTTACTCCTGGCAGGGGTGGAGTGGCATGTGTGGCGTGCTGGGGACCAAACCCAGGTCATCTGCGTGCAAGGCAAGTGCCCCACTCACTGCATTATCACTCAGCCCCATACTTGAATTTTTCTTTTTAATTTACAGTCCTGGTGACTATACCAAAAGTGTCCACTGACCTGGACACTTCTGAATGGTCAGAACAGTTATAAGCAAAAACTAACAAGGTATCTGAGCCTGGGTAGGCTTTCTGGAGACAGAACAGTAGGGCGGATGGGGAGAGGGCTCCCAGGGCTGGGATGCATGTTCGCACCTTGAAGCCCCAGTCTGAAGCTCCACAGCAAGGGGCCCTTGTGGGGAACGGCTCCCCCCACCCAGGGAGGAGGATGAGGGCCAGGAGGCGAGGAGAAGGGCAAGATGTGGACAGCTGCCTTCCAGGCCAGGCATCTACAGGTACTCCGGAAATACTAGTTGCAGGCATGGCTGCGGGTTGGGAACTGCATTTGGGGGAGAGGGGAAGACGTGGACATTCCAGCCCCAGTTTTGCCCGAGTTGTTCTCCACGGACAGAGGCCCTCGGGCCCAGACCCAGGAGTGGGCCCTTTTGACCCAGCAGCGGCTCTGGAAATCCCGGCCGGCTGCCTTGGGAGGCGGGAACCCCCAGGAGCGTGTTCTCTCGTTTATCTTTGACCCTGGCATTCTGGGCACCGACTCAAACAACCTGGGCGCTGCTGTCCGCTGCTGTCCGCGGCCAGGCGGGGAGGCGTGGTTCTGGGGGGCGGGCGGGGGGCAGCGGCCGAGGGCGCAGAAGTGCCGGCTCCATCTCAGCCAGGAGGGGCTGCGGGGAGGGGGCTCGAGCCCGGCCCGGGGGATCCGGGCTCCGCGCGCGGGGGTGGGGGGCACGACGGACCGGGCTGTGCCCGGAGCGGGGGAGCGCGCACACCCAGCCCGGCCGGGCCTCGGGACCCTCACCCAGGTCGCCCCCGGGTCCGTTTCCGTGCCGGCTTCCCGAGGGGGCGCACCTCGCCAGAGGGTCCCCGCACTCGCTCCGGGCCCCCGTGGGCGGCCACGGCGGCAGCCCCCGCCCCGGCCCCGCCCCGGCCCCGCCCCGGCCCGCGCGCCCCCTCCGCGGCGCCCACCCCGCGCGCGGCCGCCCGCGCGCTCCGCGGGTTTGATTCTCCCGCAGCCGCGCCGGGCCGGAGCCGGGCCGAGGAGGGGCGCGTCGCGTCCCTGCCCCCGCACCCCCGCACCCCCGCGTCCAGCCCCGCGCCCCGCGCCCCGCGCCCCCCTCTCCGCGCCCCGCGCCCCCTCCCCGCGCCCCGCGCCCCTCTCCGCACCCGCGCCCTGCGCCCCGCGCCCCTCTCTGCACCTCCTCTCCGCACCCCCTCTCTGCGCCCCCTCTCCGCACCCCGCGCCCCCTCTCCGCACCCCTCTCCGCGCCCCGCGCCCCATCTCCGCACCCCTTCTCCGCGCCCCGCGCCCCCTCTCCGCACCCCCTCTCCGCGCCCCGCGCCCCCTCTCCGCACCCCGCGCCCCCTCTCTGCGCCCCCACTCGCGCCCCGCGCCCCCTCTCCGCACCCCCTCTCCGCGCCCCCTCTCCGCGCCCCGCGCCCCGCGCCCCCTCTCTGCACCTCCTCTCCGCACCCCCTCTCCGCGCCCCGCGCCCCCTCTCCGCAAACCCTCTCCGCGCCCCGCGCCCCCTCTCCGCAAACCCTCTCCGCGCCCCGCGCCCCCTCTCCGCACCCCCTCTCTGCGCCCCCTTTCCGCACCCCGCGCCCCCTCTCCGCACCCCCACTCGCGCCCCGCGCCCCCTCTCCGCATCCCCTCTCCGCACCCCCTCTCCGCGCCCCGCGCCCCCCTCCGCTCCCGGCTCCGCTGACTCGAGTGGCCGAGGGCGCGGCGGGCCATGGAGCAGCCCGAGGACATGGCGTCGCTGAGCGAGTTCGACTCCCTGGCGGGCAGCATCCCGGCCACCAAGGTGGAGATCACCGTGTCCTGCAGGTGAGCCGCCCCCGCCCCTCTGCCCGCCGGCCCCGCGGGGTCGCTCCCGCCAAGTGCCTGGGCGCCCCCGGGATCTCCCCTGCCTCCCTCCTTCCCGCCTCCTCTGCCGGCACCCCCTACGTTGAGAAGCTTGCCTTTCCCCCCAAAAATACCGGGCTGGGGGAGCTGGGAACTTACAGCGGCACCATTAGAAAAAATCTAGTAAGTTGGGCTCCAAATCTTCAGACAAAAGACGAAAAATAAAACACTGTGCAATCTGAAAGTCGGAAGGCGGATTTTTTTGGCCTCCACCCCCAAATTCTCTGTCGCGTTTCTGAGACTCTGGGGCTGTGAGGGTCATTCCTCACGGTCTACCTGCGCAGACCACCCCAGGCCTCTGGGGAGTGGGGGGCAGTGGAGGAGGGGTGCTTTCTCCGAGGGACACTCCGGGGCTGGCTGTGCCCCTGTCGTGGGGGTCAGGGTGCCCTGTGGCCCAGACGCAGCCCACCTGTAGGCTACGGGCAGCGGACCGGGCTGACTGTCCAGAGTGGCCTTGTTCTTCCTCGTGCTCTTCATCCTCTTCAAGGTTCAGATTTGTTTGCTTGTTGGGTTTTTCGTTTTGGGCTTTTTGGATCATGCCTGGCAATGCTCAACGCTGCTCAGGGTTTACTCCTGGCTCTGAACGCAGATATTTCTCTGACGGTGCTTGGAGGACCCTAGGGGGTGTCGGGGATGGAACTCGGGTCTGCTAGTGCAAGGCCAATGCCCTGCTGTCTTGTCGCTCTGACCCCTAGAAGTTCATTTTCTGGTTCGGACCTCATCCCCTTCCCGGGCCTCCGTTGGTGTTCTGGGAAGTTGTTGCATTGGGAAGATGTGGGGAATCCGGGCTCTGGCGGGGTGCAGGAGAGAGAAGGAGCAGGGGCCGGGATGGGGGGGGGGGGGTTAGGGCCGGTGGCCCTGGCAGCATTGTGCCGCGCTCACTCCCACCTGCATCTGTCCATCCTCTGCTGGGAGATTACAGGGTCCTCGGCCACCGCCTGCCTGCGACTCCCTCCCCGCCTCAGCCTGGCTCCTGTCGGTTGTCTGGGGATGGTGCCCGCGGGGCCCTTTCCTGGCCGCCCACGTCACATATCCCTGCAGCCTCAGGCCTGCCTTCTTGCTGGCGTGACACCTGTCCCAAGGGCTCCACCTGATGTGGGTCCCTCACCCACCGAGGACTTGGCCTCTGCATTTTTTGCCTGTTTGATTTCGGGTCCCACTCAACAGTGCTCAGGGCTTACTCCTGGCTCTGTGCTCATGGGGGGGGGGGCTGCTGGGAATCAAACCGGGGCAAGCACTTTAAACCTATACTATGTCTCCAGCCCCCCCCCCCCCCCATTTAAAAATTGTCTTAAATTTCCTCCTTGGTGGGTGCCATACCCGGTGCTCAGGGACTGTGTGGAGCTGGGGCTGGAACCGGGGCCGCCCACAGCCAAGCTTGCTGTCCTTTGTCCCCTCCTCTCCCAGAGCTATGCTGAGCCTCTGAGGGTGCCCCCCGCCCCCCGACTCTTACTCACAAATCTGTGGACAAAGAGGGGCAGAGGGCATGTGATTTTGAGGCCTTTGAGACTTTTTTTTTTCTTTTTGGGTTACACCCAGCGATGCTCAGGGGTTACTCTTGGCTCAGGAATTATTCCTGGTAGTGCTTGGGGGACCTTATGGGATGCCAGGGAATTCAATTCTGTGCAAGGCAAATGCCCTACGTGCTGCTTCACTATTGCTCCAGCCCCGAGACATTCTTTTCTTGCCCCTACAGTTCTGGGGTCTCCAGGGCCACACCCGGCTGTGCTCAGGGGCCTCTGGGCTGTGCCTGGCGATGCTGAGGGAACCTTGGGTGGCTGGAATCGAGCCCGGATCAGGGACATGCGTTATAACCCTTGGTCCCTGACATTTTTTCAATAGGGGTCTCTTTAGTAGAGACCCAGGGGCTTCTCCCGCTGCTGCTGTGCCAGCAGGGGTCCCCACTTCAGGGGTCACCCCTGCTACACCTGGTGGGGCAGAAGCTTGAACTCAGCCGCAAGCAAACAAGTCCTTTACGCTATCACCCAAGACCCCCCCCCCAAGGCCTTTTGTTTTGACCCTACTTGGGGTGACTCCAGCTTTGTTCCTGGGGATTGCTTCTGACAGAACTGGAGAACTGCGCATCCCTCGAACCCTGGCTTCCTGCATGCAAAGTGTGTGCTCCAGCCTTTTTTGGGGTATTGGGGTGGGGGCTGGGTCACACTTAACTGTGTTCAGGGCTCACCCTGGCTATATTCAGGGGATCATGTGTGGTCCCCAGGATTGATCCAGCCTCGACCGTATGCACAGCAAGAGTCCTTTTCCTTTTGGGATGGGCAACGCACGCCTGGCATGCTCAGGGCTCACCCCTGACTCTGTACTCAGAGGTCACTCCTGGTGGGGCTCGGGGGCGACAGGGGATGCTGGGAATTGAACCCGGATCAGCTATGTGCAAGGCAGCTGCCCTGCCCACTGTACTCTCACTCTGGCCCCCAAGGCAAGAGTCTTGACCCTGGCACCCGGTACTATCTCTCCAGCCCCAGGCCTGAACTTAGATGGAAACTGTGATCTGTCACTTGGGGAAAATTTGAGCCTGAGTTTCCTCCACTTGTCATGGACATTCCTTCAGAAATCTTATTCGCCAGGTAATTCCCAGGCTGGAAAGACTGGCACAGAGTGTGACTGCGAGCAGGATACCCAGGGTAAGGCAGGCCGGGGAGAGTGGCCCAGGACAGGGCTGGACACAGGGCGAGGACTCGGTCCCTCCTGTTTACTCTGGAAGTGGAGGCGTCCACAGGACTCAAACTTCTTGCTCTGGTGTTGCCTGCGGCTGCATCTGAGAATCTGGGGAGCATGGTTCTGGGGGCGCCCCTGTTCTTTGTTTTTTTTCTTTTGGGGTCACACCCGGCGATGCTCAGGGATTACTCCTGGCTCATGCACTCAGGAATTACTCCTGGCGGTGCTTGGGGGACCATATGGGATGCTGGGAATCGAACCCGGGTTGGCCGCGCGCAAGGCAAACGCTCTACCCGCTGTGCTATCGCTCCAGCCCCCGAAGGGCGCCCCTGTTCATTTCCTTCAGGAGATGCGATTGGTCAGCCCGAAGAGGGTCTGACCAGGGGCTCTGCATCTGCTGCCCAGACTGCCAGCAAGCAGGGGTGTCACTAAGGGAGGGGTGAAGAAAGAGGGTCACTGGGAACAGAGGGGAGGCAAGGAGACAACGAACGAGGCTTCGGCTTGTAAATCTGTCTCTGCCTCCTCCAGCTTCTAGAACAGGAAGAGAGGGAAGGAGGAGTAGGGGCGGGGAGAGCGAGTGGCTTAGAACAGAATGTCTTTCTCAGCAGACTCTTCAGCTCCTGGTCATCATTTAGTGAGAACAAGGAGGCCTTGCATGCCTCCGGTCCTGGTTCGATCCCTGCCACCACATGTGGTTCGTGGAGCCCCAGCTGAGCACAGAACCAAGAGCAAGCCCCGAGCAGCGTCAGGTGGGCCTCCTGCTCCGGAAGTCAAATCAATGATAAAATCATTCTTCCTCCACCCCACACCCCATGTCAGAGCGAGCCGGACCCCGGGAGGGCAGGCCTTGGGGTGTCCTGTCCGAGCATTCCTGTGACACATGTCAGTGGCCGGGAAGTGGGCAGGAGTTGGTGGGTGTGGGAGCAATGTTTCCTGGAGCTGGAAGCGTCACTCTCGTGCTCTGCTCCTGGGGAAGGTCCCTGCACCCCGTGCTCTCACGGCCTCTGTTAGAGGCTCTGTTTGTCCACACTGGCCTGGTCTGCCTGCACACTCCTGAGCCAAGTGCCTGGCCTGGGGACAGCGTGAGCCTCTGGCAGGTGGGACGGGCACAGGGCTTGTGTTTGGGACCCCTGTGGCCTCCATCTACTGCCCACTCCCAAAATCCTTATTGACTTTGGAAATTCAGGGGTGGGGGTGGTTCTTGCCACAAATCCCGGCCCGCCTGCCCCTGTGATCTTGAACGAGCTGCTTGTCCTTTGCCTTAGTTTCTGCACCTCTAAAGGAGGCGTTTATCTTAGGAGGATAGCTGGGAATAGTCATTTATATTGTTTATGGTTTGCTAGTTGATAAAATAAAAAAGATCTGTCTTAAGCCAAGGGTCCCAGGGCTTGTGCAACTCCCGAGACCAGATCCACTTAGAGACTCTTTGAATGTGCCCCAGAATTGTTGAGCTATAGTGGACAGAGCACTGTCTGCTCAGAGCACTGTGTGTGTTCAGTCTTAGGATTACTTTAGTAGCGAGTAGGTTTGTGGAGCTGGAGGCCGATAGACACCGGCAAGCATGTGAAGCCTAGACCTCTTCGTTCAGTGGTTGGTTCAAGAGCTTCCCTGACTGTTGGCCTTCCTGCTGTCCTGACCAAGTTCCCCATGCCACAAGGCCCCTCTAATCAGGTCTCTCTGCTGGGATGTAGGGATCTGGTCGAGCACACGGGACCAGTGTACTGTACTCAGTGCTGAAACACATGCCTTTTAAGTGTGGGACCCCAGACAAAATTCCCAGCACATTACAAAAAGAAAAGCACTTTTCAGAATGATAGTACAGTGGATGGGTGTTTGCCTGCGCAAACCTGACCTGGGTTTGATTCCCAGCATCCCATACGGTTCCCCGAGCCCACTAGAAGTGATCCCTGAGCAAAAGCTTGGAGTCAGCTCTGAGCACAGCTAGGTGTAAAAGGATATGGTCTCTGAGCCTGACGGGAGTGATTCCTGAGAGCAAAGCCAGGAGTGAGCCCTGAGCACCTCTGCATGGAGCTCAAAAACAAAAGCAAAAGGAAGAAATGAATTGGGAGGGGGTGGTCTGGGGAGATTGCTCAGGAATTGAGGTTCCTTCCTTGCACACAGCCGACCCCAGTTGAAATCCAGGGCATGACATAGGGTCCCCAGAGCACCGCCAAGAGTGATCCCTGAGCACAGAGCCAGGAGTAAGCTCTGAGCCACCACCAAGTATGAGAGAGAGAGAGAGAGAG